CTGCATCATTGCATCAGGAGTTTTCCAATAGTCAAAATTGTTGCACCCTTCCAGATTGATAAGACCTGTGTCAACACAGTGAATAGCACCACCTATAGGCTCTATTGGCTTAAGCCTTTCCCCCAGTAAGCTTGTATCAACCCTCTGTTCAGCTGGCTGGAATACTAAACTAGTAGATTCAGCCTGTTCTCTTCCCACATTAGTCAACTTGTCCTTTGCAGATAATACCAAAGGACTCATATGCTGCACCAGCATTTTGTCCTGTTGCATAACATCCAGAATCTCTATCCCAACATTACATGTCTTGTAACCAGAAGTGTGGCTCGGCTTAGTGCTTGGGGCTGGAGTCTTAAAGCTACTACTATCTCCCAGGGTTGGCTGCTTATCCTTCTCAGTGTCACTCAAATCATCAGCCTCATCATCCCTATTGTGCCCATCATTACCCCCATCATTACCCCATCATCTCCATTGTCAGTAGCAATTCCTTTTCCCTTGTTATCATCAGTCTCAACCTCAAAGTCCACTAAATGCAGCTCCTTGTTCATCTCATATAATCTCCCACGAGGGATCTTAGAAGCCTCTCTGCAAGCCACCTTGATCCTTACAGTCTCATAGAATGTTTTAAACACAGTTGCCCAATCCACATCAACCAATAAACCAAATCCCGAAGCAACTTGGGCAAAGACCTTCCAATGACACCACCTAGGAGGTATACCCCTCACCTGGACCCAGACCTCTTGCCGAATTTTTTGTTTTTCAGCCCTTTTTTTGAAAGATTTTCATAAATACGCCCCTGGTAGTATCCTTTCAAAAAATAGACCTTGACCTCAGCGCCGTAACAATTGGCGCCGAGCTTACACGTCTCGGTGCCAATTGCTTTGGCACCGAGGTCCAGGGTCATTTTCTGTGTGTCGTCGACGTAGCTGCTTGCGTGGCGCGGACGTGGCATGAGCTCGGCGCCATGGATCTTGGCGCCGAGCTCGGTGCCGTGGATCTTGGCGCCGAGCTCGACGCCAATTACTACGGCGCCAAGCTATGGAAATTGATAAATTTTAATTTTTACCATGACAGCTCGAAACAGCACCAAGCAAAAAAAGCTCGAAACAGCACCAAGCAAAAAAAAAAGCGCCTGCTTTTAATACGCTACGAAATTACCACACCGGGATACGGGCATCATCATATAGATACCACACATGGCATGCAACTACATATATAAAGTATAAACTACCGTATAAGGTGAAGAAAGGCATCATCTATCAGATCAGCGAATTCTATTTGTTTTCCGAAGACATTGTCAGAGAAACAGAGATATCCGGCTTCCCTGCAACAACACCAGCGTAGCCTTTGGTTTTCTGCACACCTTGGAAAATTTTGAGAGAGGAACAATGCAAATACAACACAACATCATATCTCAAGCCTTTTCCGTTTCTCATTAATTTCATTTCCTGTCGAAAGAAGAAAAGTGATGGCCAGCCCAGAAATGCCTTACATGCAAGCGAGGAATTCATTTGCTAAACGTACTTACTTTGGTAGAGTTCGTGTCCTCCCCCCCCCTCTTTTTGCTTGTAATAGTTGCATACAGCTATGGGCAACAATGGCTTTGGGCAAAGCACGCGTAACAACTGGCACTCATGAGCTCGGAGCTCGAAGGTACAACTACAAAGACGTCCGGGTGTGACAAAGACTGAGCTCGGCACACTAATACTGGTTGGGGCGACACAAAGTCTGAGCTCGGCTCATGGTAAAAATTAAAATTTATCAATTTCCATAGCTCGGCGCCGTAGATCTTGGCGCCGAGCTCGGCGCCAAGATCCACGGCGCCGAGCTCATGCCACGTCCGTGCCACGCAAGCAGCCACATCAACAACACGCAGAAAATGACCCTGGACCTCGACGCCAAAGCAATTGGCGCCGAGACGTGTAAGCTCGGCGCCAATTGTCATGGCGCCGAGGTCAGGGTCTATTTTTTGAAAGGATACTGTTAGGGGCATATTTGTGAAAATCTTTCAAAAAAAGGGTTGAAAAACAAAAAATTTGGGACCTCTTGCAACTCCCCATATGGTTTCAAATCACCAATCCATTCATCACCCTAGGCGCTTTTTCACTGAAAACCGAACACTGAACCGAAACCGAACCGAATAGTCGGTAGTTCGGTTTTTCGGTTCGGTTTCGGTTTCCAGTTCTATGAAGTTCGGTGTTCGGCTTCGGCTTCGGTTTCTATGCCATACCGAACCGAAGTACCAAGAAACCGTTGAGCCGCTGAGCACTGAGCGCTGAGCCGCTGAGCGCTGAGCGCCAGCCCACCAGGCACCGCCCACTGCCCACCAGCTCACCACGGCACCACCGCTAGTCCACCACGGCACCCCGCACGGCCGCACCCGCACCACTTCACTTCCCCGCATCGAATTGAGTCGCACCGCATTCCGCACGTAGAGCCTCGCACTCTCGCTCCTAACCCTAACCCTTCGGAGGCGCGGCAGGCGGCTGGTGGCACCCTAGCAGGCCAGGGCGTCAGGTGGCCAGCAGCGGCGGCGCCACCATCGACCATCGTCAAGCTCCTCAACCACGACCGCAAGAACAGAGCAGTCCTCCAATGTAAGTCTTTAGTTCTTCTTGTTCTTGCTTAATGCCTAATAGATCCAGATGCCTGTTGGTTGCTTTGTGACAATGCGAGTTGATTAGTTAGTTAGTTTGTACCCTGACTAAGTACCTAGATGGCTGGTTTTTGTTTTGATGTCTTGTAGATGGGGGACACTAAAGAAATAGTGGCGCATCTGTTCAAGTGAATGAGAATGAAGTTGTAAATTGGGAGAATGACAAGCAGGATGAGCAGCAGCAGTCCAAGGATGGAGAGGAAGTGGGAGATGAGGAAAGCAAGAAAAGGAAGCCCATGGTTCCAAGATCAGATGTTTGGGAACACTTCAGCAATATCAAACTTGATAATGGGAAGGAGAGAGCCAAGTGCAAGTACTGCGGCAAGCAACTCCGCTGTGACACAAAGTTAAATGGTATGTCCTCCATGAAGGCTCATTTGAAAATCTGCAAGAAGAATCCTCACAAACCTGTAGTAGATAATCAAGGTACTTTACAACTACAACCTAGCCCTAGCAATAGTAGTGTTGGTACTCTATCTACATGGAAATTTGATCCTAAGGAGTTAAGGAGGAGTTTTGTTGAGATGATAATAGAAGATGAGCAACCTTTTGTGTTATTTGAACGTTCTGGCCATAGAAAGTTTATGTCAAAAGCATGCCCACGTTTTGTTTTGCCATCTAGAAGAACAATCACTAGAGCCTGTGTGAAAGTGTTTGATGATGAGAGAGAAAAACTTAGGAAATTTTTGAAAGACAACTGTGAAAGAGTTAGCCTGACAACAGACACATGAACGGCTAAGAACAGTCATAATTACATGTGTGTTACAGCACATTTTATTGACAATGAGTGGAATTTGCACAAAAAAATTATTGGTTTTTTCTTGGTTAAGGGCCATAGGGGGGAGGACATTGGAAAATCTTTAGAGAATTGCTTGGTTTGGGGAATTGAGAATGTTTTTACAATAGCGATGAGACAATGCTAGTGCAAACAACACCGCAATTAAGTACATGCAGAGGGTCTGAATGAATCAAAAGGTGCGTTCTTTGAAGGAGAGTACCTTCATATGAGGTGTTTTGCACATATTATCAACCCGATAGTAGGTGATGGGTGAAAAGAATTTGATAGATCAATCGCTCGTGTTAAGGCTCTTTGTTAAATATGTTAGGAGTGGACCATCTAGGTTGGAAAAGTTCAAGAAATGTGCCGAGTTAGCAAAGGTTCGGACCAAAGCATTTTTCAACCTAGACGCGTCTGCACTAGGTGGAACTCAACTTTACGATGCTACAAACTACACAAGAGTATGAAAAGGCCTTTGAAAGGTATAGTGATGAAGACCCATACTATAGTCTAGAGTTAGAGAGTGAGAAAGCACCAGGAGTTCCAATCAAATCAGATTGGGAAAAGGCAAGGAAAATAGCTCAATTTCTTAAATACTTCTATGAGCTGACCCTCCGTGTCTCTGCCACAAGTCGCCCAACATCTCACACATACTTTCATCAGATTGCTGATGTTTTGGTTCTGTTGAGACAATGGTGTCACAGTGAAGATACATTATGTAAGGAAATGGGCCAGAAAATGTTAGTGAAGTATTACAAATATTGGGGAGAGAAGTATGGAGAAAGGCCGGGGGATAGAGAGAAGAGAGGAGAGAAAGACAAGGGGGATCAATTGCTTAACATTGTTATTTTTTTCTGTGTTGGTAGTATTGATCCTCGGTTCAAACTTTCTAACTATGTCAAGATGGCAACTATGGTAATGTTTGGTGATGAAATAAGTCAGAAACTATGGGAAACAGTCAACACTTATTTTTGTGCTTTGTTTGAGGAGTACAGAGAACTGTATGCTCCATCTCCAAGTGACAAGGTGCCTGCTGAAACTCAAAAAACACCAGAATTTTGTTCTGGATTGATGAGCTCCATAATTGCACAACAGATGAGCAATAAGGGGAGTGCCAATACCACTGTGAAATCTGAACTAGACAAGTACCTTTCAGAAGATAATGAGGAGCTTAGTAAAAGTTTTGACATTATGAAATGGTGGAAGAACAATGCTACTAGATTTCCCATAATGTCTCGTATGGCCCGTGATCTTCTGGCAATTCCTATCTCAACAGTAGCCTCTGAGTTAGCCTTCAGTTCAGGTAAAAGAACACTTGATGATTTTAGGACATCACTCACACCAACAATGGTTGAGCGACTCATTTGTACAAATGATTGGCTTCGTGGAAACAACTACATCAGTGTTGAAGAGGACACAGAAGCATTGGCCAAGCTTGAGGAATGTAATTTTTAATGCTAAGTCTAAGTTGTTATCATTTCTATTGTTTATCTTGATAGTTTATTGTAGTAACATGATCACTTATTGTAGAAATTGGTGCCCTGGCCATTTCTAAGGATAGCACTACTGCTATTGCATCTTGATAATGGTAAGTTGGTTAGCTGGACGCCTGGACACATTCTGGTGGCGCCATGGAGCATTGTTCTCTTGCTGTTGTTGATGCCTGCTAGGCTGAAAGTCAGGAACCTGGAACCTGTTTTTTTCCTCACCAACATGGAACCTGGAACCTGTTTTTTTCCTCACCAACATGGAAGTGCCGGCTGAAAGTCTGGAACCTGTTTTTTTTTCATGTTGTTTATCAAAACTGATGGAGTACTGTGGTTTATTATCAAGAATGAACTGCAAATTTGTAATATTTGATTTGAGCATTGAATTGTTAAGTTTGTAACAGTCTTGAGTCTTCAAATAATATACTGTGCTGTGTAAGTTTTACTGTGCTGTCAGTTCTAAATCCTGTCGGATGTTTTTTTTGCATCGGTTTATTCGGTTTTAATCGAAAAACCGAACTAAAAAATCGAACCGAAATTGGATGGTTTTTGGAATTTTAGCAAACCGATCGGGGGTCATTTTCTGGAAACCGAAATTTTGGAAAACCGAAAAACTGAACCGAACCATCGGTTAAAACCGAACGCCCAGGCTGATCCATTCAAGCACCCCATCTTTTCTGAGATTGAAGGAGGGGTAATTCTTGATGTCAAAGACCTTTTTGTGAGGAGGAAACCTCACCATAAACATTCCCTCTTCCAATTCCCTAATCTGCCAAGGCCGTTCCTTGCAATATATCTCAGATAATTCCTGCTCCAATTCTGCTAGGGAAATCTGGCCAGTCTTGACTTTCACCACACCACAATTGGTTAGATTTAGCCACTGAGTTGACTCAACCGATGGCACCTCAAGGTGATAAAATCCCAAACCCAGACTAGCACTTCCAACATAGGCTGCCACAGGGTGATCAGATTTCCACATGGGACACACATTCATATGGTGGCCAGGGACAGCACAGATGAAACATATCTTCGGTCTAGTGCAGTTTCCTACAAAGTGACCTGGTTCTCCACAATTGTAATAGGTCAGATTGCGATACCTTGGATCAATGCTGAAAGGAGGGAGTTCAGACTCCTGATTGCCCTGTCCTCTGCCTTGAGTAGCACCCCGCTTAGCTTGTTGTCGTGGTTGTTGAGGAGGTGGTTGCGGCCGCTGCTGAGGCTGGGGAGGTGGTTGCTGCCGTTGTTGATACTGAGGTTGAGGTTGGGAAGGTGGAATGGGATTGGGATTATACGGTTGGTTCCTCCGCCCTTGATCCACCCAGCCCTGTGGTGGTTGGGGAGGATACCTCGGTGGCGGTGGTTGGGGAGGGCCTGGTCAACGCGGCTCCGGTTGCCAAACCCAACACCCGCCCTCTGCCATGGAATCCCGCTTGAGCACCGCAGAGTACGAATCCTTCTCCCCACCTCTGCCCCAGATGTCCTTCACGAAAATGAGCTTCACCGGCGGACCATCAAATCGATCTGATCTCCGAACAGGAAAGCAATCCTCCGGAGAGATCTTCTTTGAGCGGACCAACTCCTTCCGGATCCAGAAGAGGTTCCTGGGGTTAGAGTGGCGGTGGCGTCGGAGGCTAATGGAACCCTAGAACGCGGAGGTGGGGAATCGATAACCCACAACTGACCGAAAAACTCGACCAGCTCCTCTTCGTCCTCCACCAACCGCGCCTGTATCTGGGCTCCACGCTTGATTCCCCTGACTGGTGGGGAAGGGAGGGTCCCCTTCCTCTGGCGGACGAACCCAGCGGAAGGCTGGGGGCACGTAGTCAGCCAGGGAGGGTGCGGCGATGGAGGCGGATCAAGGTCGCCCTCGAGCAGAATATTCCCTGAGGAAGACGCCATCCTCCAGGTTGCCCAATCTACATTTACAAAAAATATTAAGTTTGACTCCTCGATAAAGAAGGTGTGCACTTATTTTAGAATAGATAATTTTTCATGGATCTTATTGGCCACCTATAGATTTTTTTTCTTTTCGTGGCAAGCGTAGTTTTGAATATTTCTCATCAGGGAACAAGTGGCCGAAGACGAAGGGTTTGAACAACCCGAGAATGCTCTAGAGGTGATATAATTTGCAAGTTGCAAAACATAGTGCCCGGCTGGCGTGATCGCACGATTGAACCGTACCCGTTGCTTTTTATTTATTATTTATTTGGTAACTGACCCCTTACCCTGTTCTAGCAAAAGGAAAAGAAAAGGGAGGAGAAAAGCGAATGGTATTTTGCAGCTCTTTTGGGTCTCATCTGCATTTTAAACTCGGCCTGGGTGTTGGGCCCATGGAACGCCTATTGTCTAATTCACGGCGTGTAGCCCAAATTGAGCCACGCATGTAGATGGCTCCAACGTATCCAATGAAGGCCCTGATCCATGGAGAATCGCAGCTAATCCACGTGTACCCCTGCTGATCAGGAATTGTGGAGCTCAGGTGTGCATCAGTCTTTGTGGATCCAAAAAGGAAAGACGAGACTTCCTACCAAAAATGTTACAATGGCTTAAGGAAACTTGAAATCCATATGGGATTTGATGATCCTATAATCTTACACAATGCTTGGTTTTGTGCCATTCATGTCCGAAAGTAATTTTAGCTAATCCCGAGATCAGCTTCGGATACAAGTTCGGTCTACATGTTAGGTCATATAATCCAATTTGATTAGTCTTGTTAAGATCAACACAATCCTAATCTATCTAGGATTCGGCCCTGGGGCGCGCAGCGCAATATAAATAACGGAAATGATGTTGTGTCCGTCCGGACGCCGCTTTCCCGAGCCTGCGCGCTGCGAGCCCAATAGGTCTGCCTGCTTACCTATATCTCCCCTATCTCTCTCTCAAAAAAATTCCTCACTCTGCCTTGCGCCGTCGCGGCTTAACCGCGTCGTGATGCCGTCCGCCTGCCCCACTCCACCTTGCCGCCGCAGCCATCCCCTGCCGCGCACCCCCCATCCCCCGTCGCGCCACGCAGCGTCCCCGACCATGCCCCACCCTTGCGCGGCAGTGCCACTAGGAGAAGGTCGCTGTCGACTGAAGACACCATGATAGGAAGCCGCGCCATCACCGACCCGAGCTTCTTGCCGCGGCGGGCCGTGGTCGCCGGTGATGCCATGTTTCATGTGTTTCAGGCATATGTTTTAAGTGTTTTCATCTAGATGTTGCATATGTTGCAATGGCTATGTACGCATGTTGTAAGCGTATGTTTCAAGTGTTCATCTGGTGTTGCAAAAGTAGATCTAGATGTTGCATATACATGCATGTTGCAAGCTTATGTTTCCAAGGGTTTTACACATATGTTGCAACTGCTTCATCTGGATGTTGCATATGTTTGCTTTCAAGCATTTTTTAGGTGTTCTACAAGTGTTTCAGATGTTTTGTTGCAAGTATTTCAGCTATTACGAACGTGTGTTGCAAGTGTTCTGGATGTTGAAAAAGTAGATCTGGTGTTGCATATGTTGCAATGGGATCCACCTGCCGCAGTCGCCTGCTGCAGGTGTTGAGGCGATGCATGTTGCAAGCGTATGTTTCCAAGTGTTTCATACGTATATTGCAAGTGTTTTATCTGGATGTTGCATATGTTTGCAATGGCTTTCAAGCGTTTTTTAGGTGTTCTGCAAGTGTTTCAGATGTATGTTGCAAGTGCTTCAGCTGTTACGAACGTGTGTTGCAAGTGTTCTAGATGTTGACAAAATAGATCTGGTGTTGCATAGGTTACAATAGGATCCACCAGCCGTAGCCACCTGCTGCAGCTGCTGAGGCACCACCGAGCGGGCGCAGACTGTCCCGCAGCATGCGCGTGGGAAGCAGAGGGGGTGTAAGCAGTCCCCGCGTGCAGTCTGACGTGCGAAACGCAGGCATAGGAAACAAAGCGGCGTGGGTGAAAGGTCCTAAATGGCTAGAGGGGACTGAATAGCCTATGAAAACTCTCTATAAATTCACTAGAGCAAGTGGTTAGTACACTAAACGGCGTAATGCAATTTTGCTCTAACTCTACAAGGGTTGTAAGCCACCTATCCCAATAATTCTAGTTGCTATGATCTCTAATCACACATAAGGCTAAATCACTACTCTCTAAGTTAGTGAGCTCTCAAAGACTAACTAAAGAGCCACACTAACCAAACTAACAAACTCTCAAAGACTTACTACACTAAAGAGCTTGACTAGGCAAGAATGTAAATAAAGTAAACATAAGAGAGTGTGTAGGAAGATTATATCGCCGTGGCAAGAGACAAATGAACCAATCACAATGAATATCCAATCAATCACCGAGAGAATTCAAATCACAATGGACACAAGATTTTTCTCCCGATGTTCATGTGCTTGTTGGCACGCTAGTCCCCGTTGTGTCAACCAACACTTGGTGGTTCGGCGGCTAATAGGTATCACACACCTAGCCAACGCTTGGTGCCGCAAGAACCTACCCACAAGTGAGGTAACTCAATGACACGAGCAATCCACTAGAGTTACCTTTCGGCGCTCCGCCGGGGAAGATACAAGACCCCTCACAGTCACCGGGAGATGGCCATGAACAATCACCAACTCGTGCCAACGCTCCTCCACAGCTCCAAGCCGTCTAGGAGTCGACAAACACCAAGAGTAATAAGAAATCCTCAGCCACAACGATCTCCAAGTACCACTAGATGCAATCACTCAAGCAAATACACTAGGAATCACTCCCAATCACACAAAGATGATGAATCAAAGATGGAGATGAGTGGGAGGTGTTTGCTTTGGCTCACAAGGATGTCAAGTATGTCAAAGTGCCAAGAGTATGAGCCCCAAGCCGGCCAAGGTCTATTTATAGACCACCTCAAACAAATAGAGTCTTTGCTCTACGCAGGTCTGATCGGACTCGCTTGACCGGATGCACCCCAGCGATCCGGTCGCCAGCGTCCGGTCCTCGGATGGAAGCCACGCGTCCAGGCTTTCAAACCTAGCCCATTCATCTCCAACGGTCACTAGTTGATCACTTGCATAGTTAAATTGTGACCAGACGCACCTCTCAAAATGACCGGACTCACCATAACATGGCATCCGATCGAGTACAGAAAGGCGCCAGAGAGGATTTTGGGTCACCACACGCATCCTGTCACGTGTGACTGGACTCACCGGTGCGTCCGGTCCTTTCTGCATTCGCACACGAAGGTTACGTCAGCGTACGTTAGCCATGATCTGACGCACCCACTGCGTGTTCAGTCGTGTTTGCCCTGCTGAGTCCGATCGCCACCACGCGCTGCACCTTTTTTGGAACAAGTGACCGGACGCCAACCCTGCGTCCGGTCATGCCACAGAGGCAGACCGAGACCTAGGGTTTAGCACCGGACGCGTCTGATCATGCCAAGACCAGCGTCCGATCAGTGCCCTTAGCCTCTTTTTTATTTTCTATCTCCTCAAATGCTTCACCCTTGCTTCCAAGTTGCTAACCACCAAGTGTAGAACTTGTGTACATGTGTTAGCATATTTTCAAAGCATTTTCAAGGGTTAATTGTTAGCACACTAGGTCCCTAAATGCATATGCAAGTCATGTCACCTAGTGGCACTCAATAACCTCTTAGCCAAAGATTTCCCCTCTTTATACTACAGCTATCGATCATAAACACACTCACACCCTCTATGGTGTCTTGAGCATAGTTATTAGGACCGGACCGGAGATCGAACCGGCGAAGGTCTCGGTTCACGGTTCAATTGGTCCAACCGTTTGAACCACCGGTTCAATACGGTTCAAATAGCACATGATTTATACCAGAGCAACAAACATGTGTCTAGCTCAGTGGTAGTGTTTCTCCTCTCCAACCCTGAGGTGGAGGGATCAAATCTCCCTCTCTGCACATTATACACCCTTTTTCACTTTCCCCCCCCCCTCCCCTCCCGTAGACCACACGTCAGTGTGCATGATGTCCAAAGATGCCGGTTCTTTGGGTGGTTTTTTCTCCGGTTTTTCAAAAAAGCCGGCGGTTCAACGATTTTTAAGCAGTTCGATTGCTTATCGGTCTTTTAGGTGGACCAGACCGGCTGAGGCCCTGGTTCGGTCTTTTACCGGTCGGACCGCCGGTCTGGTTCGATCCGGTCTAAATTACTATAGTCTTGAGTGCCAAAACAAAAACCTATTTGATACATTTGCATTGATCAACCCTTGGTTTTTGTTTTTCTCTTTCTTCTTTTCCAAATTGGAGTTTGATCACCATCATTTCATGTCCATCTTCATCACCCTAAACCTCTCACTTGCTCCATCACTTGGTATGTACCAACCTAGCTCATGATCACACTTAATGACATAGGTTAGTACTTAGGTTTCACAAATTATCCAAAACCAAACTAGGGCTTTCATTAGGTGCGGACGGACGGGAAGGCGCAGAAGCATGCCTACGTGCAGGTGCGGGCAAGTGCAGCAGGCACGGGCATCTGTCCAAACGTTCGGGTGCTAGCCTATCCCTATAAATAAAGGGTTGTTCCGGGCTCCAACATGCCCACAAAACAAATCTCTTAAGGCATTAGAGGGCTCAGGAAAGTCAAAGTTCATGTCCAAGCCAGTGTCATTGGTGTCCAAAAGGCCACTGTTTGCCAGCATGTGAAGACCGTAAGAAAAATGGCATCAAGCATCCCGCATATTTAATTTTGGTGGTTGATTGACAACATGATAAAATGGACTAATGTGATTTACTAATATACAAGGTTTTAGTTCTTTGGATGCAATGATTGATTGGACTTAGACAACACGAAGATCAAGTGATCACCACCTCAAGGAAGACCATAGAGCTGCTAGAAAATCATATAAGACTTGTGAAAAGTCCAAGACATTATGAAGAACATGCCCTAAAGAAAAGACGTGAAGAAATAGAGCTAACTGAGCACCAACA